AAATCCTCGCCTTTGCATATATAACACTCGTGACACTTGAAAAAATAATAATGATAATAATAATAATAATTAAATCACCCTGATTACATTGACCTCATTTCAAAAAAAAAAAAAAAATTATTTACATAAGTTAAATTAATAATTTATTTATTTAGTTAATTTTTTTTTTTTTTTTTAAATTGAAAACGTACACACACATTAATTAATTAATTAATTAATAATAATAATAATAATAATAATAATAATACGTGCATAATATTAATATTAACATAAAAACCTTTTTTTTCGGTTATTTTTTATATTTTGCATAAACTTCACATCTTCTGTTGTCTCATTCGTATCATTATTATCATCATCATCATCATCATCATCATCGTTTTCATTATTTTCGTCGTCGTCGTCGTCGTCATCATCATCATCATCATTATTATTATTATTAAATTTTATATTTATTTATTTAACTATTTATTTTGCATGTTTTTGTGTCGATTTCATAATTTTCTTATTTTTTCTTAGTTTTATTCATTGCTGTAAAACAACAATAGTATTTTTTTGTTACAATCCATTCATGATATCAACAAACGAACAAACAAACAAACGAACAAACAGCCAAGCGGTCTAATCCTTTTTTTTTTTTTTTAACGAACCCATTTCCAAATGATTAACTAACGAATAATTACGACGGAAAATAACGAATGAAATTTTTTTTTCGGAAGGAGGGGGAGTTGGGGGAGGGGAATTCAGGATTCTTATACAAAATGACACATTAGAAAAAAAAAAACTACTCTTACCATTTATTATTATTATTATTATTATTAATTATTTTAAAAAGATGATAATAAAAATTTTTATTTTTTTTCTCCAAATTTTTTTTGTAAGCATTTTAATGTTGTTGTTGTTTGTTTTAATTTCGCGCACTTTTTTTCCTACAACCCCCTTCAACGTCATCATCATCATCAACTTTTCCTTTTCCTTTTTCCCCTAACGATTAAAACAGAAAATTCTTTCGGATCCTAATTTCTATTTTTTTTTTTACAATCTTAAATAATTCGAAACGTTCAATTTGAAACTTTTATAAATTTATAAATTTTGTCGCTCTTTCCTCCCACGCTTTACCTCTCGATACCGAACCCGCCCCTCTCCCCTCCCACCTTCCCCCCAAAGTAAAAATATTCTTTTGACTTCATCCAGTGCAAAACGCACTGAAACTTTTTTTATTTAATAAAGCTTTTTTTTTTTGTTTCGTGTATTTTCTTAAATATATTTATATAAATATATATATATATATTTATTTTATTTTTATTCTTCTTATAATAATATTAATAGTAGTAAAAATTCACACGTTTTCCAACTAAATAAAGTCCTCCTTGCACAAAACAACAGACTTTTTTTTAATGACCTTTTTATTTTAACCCTAATTTTTTTTTCTTATTTAAATACTTTTAAATATGCCAATCAAATGATTTTCTTTTC